GTTCGAGAATTTTTTTTCATTATTTTACATTATAAGTACCCAAAGAAGCTATATATATAAAAGACCAGATACAAATAGGTGTTTTGCGAAATTGAGAGCAATTTCAAATCTGTTCAGTTTTTAAGACTTATGCATTCCTTAAGAAAAATACATGATTTTTATCAAAGTATTGAAATTGTTTTAATATTTACTAATTTGACTTTGAGTCAAATATTGATTTTAACCTATTTGATTTTAACCTATTTGATTTTAACCTATTTTTTTTAGGTTAGATCAACCGCATGTAACCTATTTTAAAGGGCTGGTTTAGACTCATGGCCTTTACCATTATTAATGAGTTGTTTCAACCATAAAGAATAGGTTATATTTGTATTAACCAAAATTTATAGGTTAAATTGACCAAATATTATTGGTTAAAATGACCAAATATTTATAGGTAAAAACAACCTATATTTATTTGGCAAAAACAACCTATATCTCTGAGTAGATTTAACTGTTTAAATTTAGGTTGTTTTAACCTAAAAATAAATGTTATAGTAACATATTTTAAATAGGTACAATTAACTATATTACAGGTTAAAATAACCCACTAGAAATGGTTTGTTTTAACCTATTTAGTTTTAGTTATTTCTACCTACCGTATTTACTCGTTTGAGCGCCGCGGCGCTCTTTAAATTTTCAGAGCTTCAGATGCGGCGCTCATTCGGGGGCGGCGCTCAATCGCGGGCGGCGCTCTTTAAAAAAAAATTATTTGTGAATTATAAGAAGAACTTTTAACAATAAAATAAACAAGTTCTAAACGTTTTTGTCACTAAATGTCCCCATTTTGACGGTGGAAAGGTTTTTACACTGTTTAGTGCGGCGCTCATTCGGGGGCGGCGCTCTTTAAAAAAATTTGATCTCAAATGCGGCGCTCATTCGGGGGCGGCGCTCAATCGGGGGCGGCGTTCAAACGAGTAAATACGGTATTTAAATAACCTATTTTAAACCGGTTGTCCTAGACCAACTGAAATAACCTATTTTTTTTGGTTATTTTAACCTATCAGTTTTTACAGTGTACCCAAAACTTGGACAGACTTCATCGGCTTCAAAAGAGAGCTGCCAGACTGATTTTAGATCGTGATCATAAGGCACTTTCACTGCCTTTATTTTTGGAACTTGGATGGCTTCCAGTTCACGAGAGAATACGATATTTTCGTGCTAGTACAGTTTATAAAGCGTTAAATAATCTATCTCCAAGTTATATCACTAGCTTACTTTTACCATTTAGCAAAGTACATAATGTAAGTACTCGCGGCTCCACAAATAACAACTTGAAGCTTCCAAAAGTAAACACTAATGCTGGTAAACGTACTTTTGCCTTCTTAGCAGCTAATGAGTGGAATCTATTACCTGATAGTGTGAGATGCTCGACATCATTTTCCTCATTTCGTAAAAACTACATAAATTTGGCCTTTTCCAAACTCAAGGATAATATCTGACTTGTGTTTATCACAATGTTTTTAACCCTATGTGTATATTTTTAGACTTAGTAACTCTTTATATTGGTATTTATAGTCTTAGTATTAATAGACAGTATATTACTTAGGGCCTAAATGAAAATTACTTCGTGTAACTCTAGTCACCCTGTTTAAATAAAGTGTTTATTATTATTATTGTTAGTATTTGTATACACTTATTCATCCCCCCCCCTTCCACTTTTTATACGCCTCAAATTTTCCATCCTATGTTTTTTAATGTAACTTCAGCGGTCTAGGTTCAAAATACAAGCTCGCGAAATTTGACCATGCATTTTGAAAATATGTAAAAATAGCTTCACTTTGAACTGCATTTTCTAAAAAATAGCCCTTGGCCTCAATTTCAAATATAGCTAAATGAAAAGAAAAATCTTTTCGGCGTTTGTAGGTATTAAAAATATATACATCGTCAGGAAAACAGAGGCGCACAATGTTTTAGTTAAGTCTTTGAGACCCAGTTACTTCACCCCTAGCTGTTGTGGTCAAATTTTTGCCAAGAATCAAAGGCGCTGAAAGGTGAACTTCCTTCATGAAAACGGCCTCGAAAAGGGTCTAGTTTGAAAATTTAACTCTTAATTTGCATTTCATGAGGATACGTTGGTTACACGTTAAATATTTTTGTAGTTGATGAGTTCCAAAATCTGTTGTATATTCATGCCGGGCGTCAGTGTAATGGTAATGCTGTATATTCATGCCGGGCGTCAGTGTTTGGTAATTTTGGTGATATATATATTATCCACCAAAAACCCAGTATCGTGGTAATTTTTTATTTATAAAAGAAAACTCACGTTCATGTTTTATATCTTATATTAGGTTCATGCAGATATGCAAATATGTCAGAACTTTTGAACGCAGCCGAAACACGAAATTTCCGAGAAGTCAGACGGTTGGTTGAATCTGGTGCTGATGTTAATCAAAAAAATTCGTACCACACTACAGCTCTTCACTGTGTCGCACAATCTGGTTCTCTGGAAACTGTAAAATATTTAGCTGAACATGGTGCTGATATTAATTGTAAAAATTGGAGGAATGAAACAGCACTTCATTACTGTGTTAGATCCGCGTCTCTCGATATTGTCAAATATTTAGTTGAAAAAGGTGCCGATGTAAATTCTATAAGCGAATCGAATAGAACTTGTCTGCATTTTGCCGTTGAATGTGGTTCACTAGAATTGGTCAAATATTTGGTCGAACATGGTGCAAACGTAACAAGAGAAGATTGTCGTGCATGGCACACAGTTCTACATTATGCTTGTAAACTGGGAAATGTCTTAATTGTTGACTACCTTCTTGAACATGGAGCGAAAGAGGACGTAAATAAACAGGAATGGGCTTCGCCTTTAAGTGCAGCATGCCCAGGGGGTCATACCGCAGTAGTTCAAGCATTGTTGAAATATAACGTTGATTTACGGAAAGAGAAGTTATTAATATGCGGCAATAGCGAGATCATGAATATTCTCAATCTGGAGTTAAAGAAATCCATTAAACATCGTGAGAAAATTGAGATTTTGAGAACAATGAATGAAGAAATGTTAGCCAAGGTAATAAATTAACGTTTTTATTTTGAACGGAGTAAACATGCAGGAGCTTTCAACTTACACAATATCTCAGTATTTGGCAAATACGTCGATTGCCACAACAGCCCGTTTCATCCAAGAGGAATTATATATAAGTTGTTTATGATGTTACTCTGAGTGTTTCAGTTTGTATATCCACCCGGCCACGGTGGGAATCGAACCTACGACCTTTGGAATACTAGCCCAATGCTCTGCCATCTGAGCTACGCAGTAGCCTAGCTATGAATACTAGCCCAATGCTCTGGAATACTAGCCCAATGTTCGAGGAATATTAGCCGAATGCTCTGCCAACTGAGCTACTGCGTAGCTTCGCTTGAATTTTTAAGCCAGCGAAGGGTTGAGCGAAGCAGCAAATTTGCCAAAATAATACAAACTTTTGTTGCTATAAACCCGGAAAAATTGTTTAATTAAAATGCTGGAAATAAAAAAAGTGATATACAGATTAATTTGCCAAAGTGTTTCAACATCTTGGTTGCTAGATGTACCATGAAAGATGTTAAATCGTAGGTTTCGTCGTGTTTGTCAGTTTTAATTGTCAAAATTATTGTATTTTTTGTCTTTCGGCGAAAATATATCTAAGTAACATTTGTTACCATAAATATTTAAGATACTTTTTAAATCACTTCTGTTCAGTTTTTGTTGCCTTTTTCTATGTTTGACAGGTTTTATATTCCTGTTTCTTTTTCTTGGCTATTTTGCTCGCTTTTCCCCAAAACCTGTCAAGACAACAACAAATTCCACAAATGCCAAGCCGGTTAATTTTACACGTTGAAAAATTGGTTTCTTCCTTTGGTCTATTCCTTGTTGCTTTCAGATAAATTTTGTATTTTAAAAGATCTATAGTTTTGTTTATACTTCTGGCTAGAAGCACTGATGAAGCGGAGAGAATAAAACAGTTGCGTCACAATGCACGCGCATTAGCCAATCAAGTTGTCTGTTATATCACACTTATATAATAATCTTGGAGAAAGCATGTAAGAGTATGCCTTGTTGTTTATAAACAAATTTGGTACAGTGCTCAATGGATGTCCATGCCAGAGCGTATTTAAATAAATTGCACAATAAGGGACCGGTCATTATTTATGGAAGGGGGGAAGAGAAAAAAAAGGGGGCCATATGTATAGGTAAATGACTAACGGGGGGGGGGGCTATTAATTTTTTTCAAGAAAATGAGGGGGCTGCAATTAAATTTGAAGGAATTTTCTTAATAAGCCTGGTATCCATTTGGTTGTAAATGTTGCGACTAAGTCATATGGTCACTGACGTGAAATAATTTGCATTTATCTTGTCTTCTGTTTGCTGTATGCAAATCAATCTCTACTGATTGCAGAGATAAGTTGACAATGTATTATTACATCAGTTATCTTGATGTGGTTAAGTACATTTAAATTAACGGCAGATGTATTATGCAGGCCACATTCGCTGAAGGGAGTCTATGACGTCATATCGATCAAAGGGGGTCTGGGTATTCATTCTGCCATTGTATGCTTTGCCTAGCTGCATGTTTACTCTAGAGAATTTTATCTGCTAGTATGTCATTTTATTTTATATAATTTTTTAATCTCACATAAAATAGGATGTATAGACCACTATACATTGTATTTTGTTTTCACTGACTTGCCAGTGTGACTGGCGCCAGCGGTATGCCTTGGCAAAATTGTCATGGCTATTTCCTTTTGCTGCTAACATTACTGATAATTGTTATATATACATACTCTCATTGTTGCTGCGCAGCTGCTATGGCAATACTACATGTCATCAAGTCTCAGTGCAACCTTGGACCACAAAAGGCACCTGCCTCCAAACACTAATACTCGGCCGTTAAACATAGCTACAATCACCGGCCCAGACCAAATGAAAACCTGATTTTAGTGTTATTTATAAAAATTAAATATATATTTTTGGTCGACGTTAATATCTTGTCAGTTCCATATTCTTATAAATTTAATAATTAATTAATTAATTAATTTAATAATTAATTAACACTATAACGCCTGCATGGGTATCCCTACTTGACGAGTAAAAGGGAAAATAGTTGATGGTAAAAAAAATTAGTCTAATATGCAGGGGGGTCATCATTAAATTCCTGCTCTTTTAAGGGCGGTGGGGGGCGCTTTCAATTTTAAACATTTAGGAATGAAAAAATTCCCCTCCCCCTTCGAAAAATAATGACCGGTCACTAACTCAACAAATTCCACTAGACTTCTTCATTACTATTTCTTTCTTCGATATCAAAGGACCCACCCAGACCACGTAGCTCAGTTGGCAGAGCATTGGGCTAGTGTTCCAAAGGTCGTAGGTTCGATTCCCACCGTGGTCAGGCATATTTTTCAAGCTTGCCCGGTGTGAATATACACTCAGAGTAACATCACAAGCATCATATTCACCTGAGTACATTACTCCAACACAGAAAAATCAAGATTAAAGACATTTAAGATCCGTTGCGTTTGTTACCTTTATCCAAGCATGGTTGACGCGCATTGCTAAAACGACACAATACTGTAGATGCTTTTCTACTCATCAAGACAAAAAAATCTAAACTGATTAATTAAAACTGCTTACTGCCTGATCGTTTTAGCTAAAAAATTGGTTTCGCTAGATGGACAGCCCTAATGATACTTTCAAAATGTAAATGAAACGATATAAGTGGACGTTTTTCATAAATATGCCAAGGAATACTTCAGTTAATAAACTGCCGAATGTTTTGTTTGGCCCAGAACTACGTGAACTAACCAACTTGCCTAGATCGATTTTTATTTTCTCCAATAATCTAATTCTCATTGCATCAAGTGAGTTACTTGTTTTGGTTGAGTAATCACTTTTCAGGAATTCATTGGCAAGTTCATTAACAAAAACAACTGAATATCTTAAGTTGCGTTACCAGATCTGGTCGAGCTCCGTACTTCACGATCCAACTTAGCTTTCAGGCTCAGCTGAAATACAAGTAAACATGATACATGATTAGCACACAACCACTTACTTCAATTAATATTTTTGAGCAATGTATATACATTTTTTTTGTTTTCCTAACTGCAGGATGGACCTCCATTGAAGTACTTTTCAGCTCTGAAAACCTTATTACTTGGGAAAGGTTCTATGGGTACGACTGTCTATGTTGGTATCATGGAGGATGGCAGTGAAGTGGCTGTGAAAAGAATGTTGATACAAGCATGTGAAGATTCAGCAAGGAATGAAATAGAAATCCTGAATCGCACAGACACAAACAAATCACCTTTTATAGTCAGCTATCGGCACTTCTACGACGACGATACCTTCATGTACCTGATTCTAGATCTTTGTGAAGAAACATTGAAAGAATACGTGAATTCTCAAACGACTGAGCATCTGAGAAAGCATGGTCCAAGAATGATCAAGGAAATATTAACCGGCCTTCAATTCCTTCACAGACTAGGAATTTTGCACAGAGATCTAAAACCAACAAATGTCTTGGTAGATGTCGAAGGTCACATGCGATTGGCAGACTTTGGAGTAAGTCGTGTGTTAAATGAAGATGAAACCACAGTTTATACTGATGCGAAAGGAACGAGAGACTGGATGCCCGTGGAAGTAATTGAGGCAATAGACAAGCGTCAAAAATGTCGGTTTAAGAAGAAGTCTGATGTTCAAGCTGTTGGAATGATGGGGTTCTTCATTTTAACCAAAGGCGAACATCCTTTTGGTCCTTCCTCAGTTGATTGTATGACAAATATTTTACAAGGAAATCCAGTAAACTTAAGCAAACTTCAAAATCTCGGAGCTCGAGAGTTTGTAGCATGGTTGATCAGTCACAGCATTAGTGAGAGGCCTTATGCTCATGAAGCACTGAGTCATTCGTTTATGAATCAAGTGGAAGAGTTTGAAGTATTTCCCAAGTTAATGAAACGACAGTAGCGGGATGACAAAAGTACCAAACTAGAAACAAAACAAATTTCTTCTGCCTGTGGTATTCATTTGCTTATTGGCTATTAAATCTAGGAAGAACGGAACACTGGAAACACCATGGCACCGCAACAACGAAACACTGGAACACCACGGCACACAGGAACACTGGAACATTGCAACAGTGGAACACTGGAAACACCATGGCACCGCAACAACGAAACACTGGAACACCACGGCACACAGCAACGCAGGAACACTGGAACATTGCAACACTGAAACAACGCGGTACGGCAACAACGGAACACCGCCGCACCGAAACAGCGCAACACTAGATCATCGCAGCACTGTAACACCGGAAGGAGGATTATACGGCCAGGCAATCTTACAGTGAAGCGCAAGAAATGTTTCACTGCCTTAGGCTGGATATACGTCGAAGTGAACTTTGTGAGAAAGCAATGATTGCGTTACGCGGTCGTCTTTCGTGACATCCAACCCTGACGAGAGAACGAACATGGGCATAATTTAAGGAACTTTGAACAATTGTCTTCTTTTAAATGTAGAACTGATAGATTCGGTAGGTATAGCAGTTTTTCCCGAGTATGATCAGTGTTTTAAAACAAGTAATTAATTGCTCTTAGTGACACACGGTAGTTTTAATCTTATGCATTAAGATTTATATTTGCATTTATAGCAAAATTTTACCCAAATTGTAAAACACATTGTAATATAATTCATTCCAAGCGATGACATGTTATTAATCATTAATAGTAAATACACAACATGACTCCGAGACACGAAACACTGCGATTTAATTTGGTTAAAATTATCAAATCATATATTGGGGGGGGGGGGGGGCCGAATTATTGTTGGAATAATTATTGCATAAAACCTGCCTTCATTATTCTTCACTATTAATAGCTTTAATAATATGCATAAAGATATTACTCGACTGTGATTGGTTGATTTCATTGCAGTTAATCCCAAACAACAGTGCAATTTTCTGTAATCACAACGCAATTTTTTGTAATCACAGTCCAATTTAATTTTTGTAATCACAGTGCAATTTTCTGTAATCACAGTGCAAAAATCTGTGTAACTAACTGATCTGATTCGTGGGAAAACATTTTGATGATTAAATCAACCAATCAGTTTAAAGCAATTTAGTTTAAATAAGTAACGGTCACAGATTGCTTCAAAACAAAACAAACATGGCGCAACGCTACATAAAGTCTGATAAAGTAAAAGTTGCCTTCGCGTGGAAAATATGGCTTTTATCTTTATTTTTAAATAGAAAAGCATTTACTTTAAACAAGACTAACAAAAATTACATAGTTGAGTGGAATTTTCAAGCTGTTAGCGTTGTATAATGTGATATAACAAAGCCAGGAAAACTTTGCCGGTGGAATGTTCGCTAGAAACGCGTAAGTTAAAAATACAATTGTCTCGAACATTTTTATGTAAATTATTAATAAGTAATAGCATAGTTTCTCCTGAAATTTGGATAAACATGCACTCGTGAGTTTTTCAAAGACCTCAAATAGCACTCGTCCTTCGGACTCGTGCTATTTTGAGGTCTTTGAAAAACTCACTCGTGCATGTTATATCCAAATTGCACTCGAAACCATGCTATACACCCTTTTCATAATGGCTGCCGATTAAAAATTCTTTTATGTGCATATAAATTGGCCCAACTAGCCTCGTTTCTGCATGGGTAGAAATTCCTTTGAAATCTTAACATGAGTACGAGGCTAGTTGGGCCAATTTATATGCACATAAAAGAATTTTTATTCGGCAGCCATTTATGAAAAGGGTGTATTATACCTATACTTATCTACAGTATTAATAATGGTCGAAATCAAACTCAGCACTCAACAGGGAACTTGATTTTTTTACTCCCAAACGGATAAATATACCCTTTTGGCCACACTTTTACGCAAGCAAGGTTTTCCAATTCCAAAGCTTTACAAATCAAACCTAAAATTTTTTTGTTGAGAATAACTATCTTGACAAGTGCGTATACAGAGGTTGGCCTATCTTTGTTGTTGAAAACCAATACTAAATTTAACTTACGTGTTACATAAGTCATAACCAAGTTAAAACTAACCTCGCTCCCAGTGGCCATTTGTTTTTGAAACTGCTTTGCCTTTAGCTTGCTCGTTGCAGGGGTTGAACAGAATAACCTCTCTTGACTCTACATTTCAAGCTTGACCTAACATTTCAAGCTTGACTCTACATTTCAAGGTCATCCGTCAGAAGAGTAATGGGGAGTTAAATAATAACCTTTCGGTCAATCAAAATGACAAAAAAGCAATGAATATAACCCCCGTAAGTTAATAACCAAGTTGTAAATTTAGGGAGGAAAGGTGGGGTAAATGTGTCAGTTAGAAAAAGAAAGGAATAATTATTTAGTTTACGCAATAATTATTCCAGCAATAATTCCCCCGCCTCTGGTAATTTTTACCATTTTTTTTCTGTTTTAGCGTTGCGTGTTTCGGAGTTACACTGTATTTCCGGGGTTTCTCATTTTAGTGATAGTCGTGTTCGTTATATTCATTTTGAAATCAGTTTCCTGCTATCTGATTGGCTCTAAGCATCTGAGCAGTGCTATTTCACTACGAATCGCACTCATAGCTGCGCGATTTCAAAATTGCTTGTACTGCTTTACTTTAGCCAGCCAATCAGTGAATTAATTCACCCAACTAGCCAATCAATTTTAAGAAATAAATCAATTTAGCGAATTAGGGCCTGTTCATATGGGCAAAAGTTATCCCGGTTAAATTAACGAGAAAACTTTTCAACCATGCAGCCAAATATTTTTGTTCTGTTCATATGGAGAAACGTTATCCCGCCTACCAGGTAAAGTTTCCGGCTGTCAAGTAGCACTGAACATCAATTGAATTGAAAAGTTGTTGACACGACAGAAAGTTATCCCGCTAAGCGGGAAAGTTGTGTTCATACGATATCCCGATCACCGCCTGTGAACAAGCGCGAGATCTCGGTACACGGGAAAACTTTTTGTCTCATATGTACGCAGTGTAACTTTTCATATTATTTTCATACCAAGGCGAGATCTCGCTTGTAAACTTGTCGAAAAGTTTCCTCGCTAACCGGGATAACTTAACAGGCCCTGAAACAATGCTTGACTGTCTGGGCTAATTTGTTTCCGTATAAAATTTGTTCCGTATAAAAATGAAAGAGCTGTTAATCAATTTTAATGAATGAAATTTACTCGGGTTAATTAAAAATATTTATTTAATTGTTGTCAGCTTTCGACTGCCAGTCTGCAGCAGTGGCGTAACTCCTATGAGCTCTACCCAGTAAAAGCCGGGGGCACCCAGGCAATCGGGATTGCAGGGGGCACCCTGAACTGCACCAGCACAGTTGGTATGTAACGTGACTCCAGAAGTTAAAGCGAAAAATGGAAAGTAAAAAATAAATATGAAAATATGGAATGTCTTTGGAGCCAATGGCAGTAGATCTAGGAAAATCTGCACGTGAATTGGGGGGGGGGGAGCGTTGAATAGTGTTGGAGAGATGAGAGGCCAATGGCATGAAATTCTATGAGAATCTACTGTGTTTGGTCTTAAAGTTGGCATTTCTATATCCTCTTATTGAAAAGAGAACAATAAAAGTTCGTGGATTTTTTGACGAGGAAGCAACAGATGAACCTATCGCTGACCCAGCGAAGAAATTCTAAAAAGTTATTGACATGGTTGCATCGCAACTACTGACAATGCAACTTTTGACTACGCAACTATTGACTACGGTTGCATCGCAACTACTTCAAAAGTCAGACCTAATTTGTTGCTAAGACATTCAATTTTTTGGCACCAAAGAGCATACTGAATATGACAGCTAGTGAAGTTTCCTGTGCTGCCATTGATCTGATTTCTACTTTCAAATTTGACTTGTGTTCCGAGTTAAAAACCCCAGAAGACTACGCTAATGATTTGACTCAAGAAGTTTTGTCATATAGATTCTGTCTCAAGGACGAATTGCTCGGAATGACTAATATTTTCAAAAATAGTGCAATCAACTTTCCCAACGTAACCACATTCATAAAGATGAGTTGATCACATCCTATTCTAAGTTAGTATTAACAATTGCTTGGCTTTTAACTCTACCTGTAATAGTTGCTACAGCAGAAAGCGTTCGACTTCAGTCATCTATCGCACAAAACCGATTTATAGATGCGCTTGCCATGATCCCAATAGATCTTTCCGTTGACAAAATGATCGACGAGTTTGCTGAAATAAAGGCCAGGTGCGAGAAATTTAAGATTTAATGTTACATTTAAGGTTGTATGTGCATAAGTACAGTGGCAAACATTTCACTGTTTATGTAAAAAACAATTTCTGCATAGTGTTATTATATAGTTGTGTATCTTGCTGTATATTTATATTTCCAGTTTAAAAAACCTATTAAAATTGGCTTCTAAACGACTAGGAAAATGTTCATATTGACATAGCTTCATGGTACTTCAAAAGGATGTAGGATCCCCCTACCTTGGGGGCACCAAATCCCGGTAGGCGGCCAGGGGCACCCTGGTCCGAACTTACGCCAGGGCCTTTTTTAAGGATTTTCCCGTGGGGGGGGGGGTGATTTTTGGAAAAGGGACCTTTCTGTGAGATAATATATT